TCCGATTTCATTCTTCTACATATGGCTAGTCAGTTATCACAGCACCATTTATTGAATAGGGAATTATTTCCTCATTGCTCATAAAACTGATTTTTCTTTACTGATCTTAGTTTGTTGGTTTTGTTTATTCTGTGATCTTTCTAAACTCACTTATAAGTTTTAGGAGTATTTTAGCATATGTCATAACATTTTCTCCACTGACAAATCATATCGTCATCAAAAAAACAAAAAATATATATCTTCCTTTTCAATCTGGATACTTTTTCGTTTCTTTTTGTTGTCTTACTGTACTGGCAGTGTTGAATAGAAATGGTGAGAGCAGATGTTCCTGAAGTTAGGAGAAAGGAACTCAGTCTTTCTCCATTGAGTATAATTTTAACTTTAGGGATTTGGCATATGCCCTTTACGGTTGAGGAAATCTTTTCTACTCCTAGTTTACTAAGAGTAATTTTTATTAGAAATGGATGTTGAATTTTGTTAAATGCATTCTTTGTATCTATTAAGATAATTATATGGGGGTTTATATATTTACGCTCTAAATTTTGTTTTGGTCTTAATATAGTGAATCACAATTTTTGATTTTCAAATGTTAAACCAAACATGGATTCCTGGCATAAATGCCACTTGGTCACAACCTGTCATCCACTTTATATGTTGTTGGATCTGATTTGCTAAAACTTTAAGAATTTCTGTATCTATGCTCATGAGGGATACTGATCTGTGGTTTTCTGTTTCTGTAATTTTGTCATCGTTTCATTTTGGTATCAGGGCCATGCTTGCTTCACAAAATTAACTGGAGGGCATTCAATATCCCTCTGTTTTTTGAATAAGTTTATGCAAGACTGACACTGTCACTTGCAAAAATGTTTCATAGAATTCATCAGTAAACTCTTCTGGAACAGGAATTCTTAGTTGGAAGGGTTGATAATTCAACTTCCTTAGCATATATAGGGCTATTTATATTTTGCTTCCTTCATTCTACACGCATTCTCAATCACGCATTACATTTGTTTTTGTTTTTGGTAATGTATATTTCTTAAGGAATTTGTCCATTTCCCCTAAGCTGTCAAATTTATTGTTATAAAGTGATTTATGATAGTCCCTTATTGATCTTTTAATGATTGTAGGGTCATTCCTGATATGGGTAATCTGTGTTTTCTATTTTCTTATCATCTTTTGTGCCATCAATTACCAACTTTTGACTGTGTTTTCTATTTTTCTCTAGTTAATATATTGCTACTTTTGTCTTTATTATTTCCTTCATTATCTTAAATTTAATTTGCTTGTCCTTTTCTAGCTTCTTAAGTGAGAAACGTAGGTCACCAATGTTAAATCTTCTTTTCTAACATAGACATTTAAATCTATTTCCCACGTATGCCCTGCTTTAATCCCATTCCAAAATTTTCAGTTTTCAACAATATGTAACTAAAATCATTTTCTAATTTTCCTTGATTTCTTCCTTGGTCCAGCAGTTATTTAGAACAGTGCTTTCTAAATTCCAAATAGAAGGAATTTTCTACAAATATTATTATTATTTATTTCTTACTCATTCCATTGTGATAAGAGAATATACTGATATTTTTAATCTTTTGGTAATTAGAGGGTCTCATTTTGTGACCTATCTCATAGTCTACACTGGTGAAAATTCCATGGCTCTTGAAAAAAATTATATTCTGTAGTTGTTTGATATAGGGCTCTTTATATGTCAGTAAAGCCTAAGTTGTTAAGAGTGGAACAACTGAAATAGGAGTGTTAGAATCACAACCATGATTGTGGATTTGTCTATTTCTCCCTTTAATTCTGTCAGTTTTGGCTTCATGTATTTTGAATCTCTGTTATTACACTTGAAACAGCGCTTTGTGTTAAATAGAGGAAAAAAGATACAATCTTCTTATATTTACCCATATTTACACCATTTCTATTACTTTCCATTCCCTCCTATAAATTCACATATCCATCTAGTGAGATTTCCCCTTAGCCTGAAGAAATTTCTTTATATTTATTTTAATGCAAGCCTCTTCATGAATAATTCCCTATTTTTGTTATGAGAAAATGTCTTAAATTTGCCTTTATTTTTGAAGTATATTTTCATTGTATATAATAATTGTGCTTGCGAATTTTTTACCTCTCCAACGATGTTCTCACATTGCTGTACGTTATCCAATCTTTTTGATGAGAAGTCTGTCATCATTCATATAATTGTTCCACTATACACAGTGTAAATTTTTCTCTAGCTTCTTTCAAGATTTTCTTTCAATCTCTATTTTTTCAGTAGTTTCATTATGATGGGCCTAGGTATAGTTTTCTTCATTTTTATTTTGCTTGAGGTTTGCTGGACTTCTTATATCTTTAAATTTATATTTTTCACCAAGTGTGTAGAATTCTTGTCATTCTTAGTGTCCCATAATTTATTTTTCTTTTTGCTTTCCTGTTCTTTCTCTCCTGTCCTAGAGGACTTCATTTATATTTGTATTAGACCATTTGACACTGTCACAGAGGTCACTGGGGTCCTATTCTGTGTTTTTGGTTTTTTTTTTTTTTTCATTTTTTTCTTCAGTGCTCTTCAGATTGAGTTGTTTCTTCTGATTTATCTTTAAGATTACTGACTATTTCTTCTGCCATCTCCATTCTATTGTTAAGCCCATCTGGTGAATTGGTTTTTTCTTATATTCTGCTTTTAAAATATAAATTTTCCTTTTGAAAATACAGTTTCCATTACTCTGTTGTGATTCCTTATTTGGTCACCCATTATGAGGAGATTTTCCTTTTCTATTTTCTGCTTTAAATCATAGTCTACAAATTCCAACATCTATGTTAGCTCAGGGTTGGTTTTCATTGATTGGTCTTTTTCTTGAAGTAGATCACTTTTACTTGGTAAGTTTTAATTGCATACTGGACATCGTAGGTAATATGGAGAGATTCTGGATTCTCTTAACTTCCTCTGAAGAGTACTGATTAAACTATTTTAAGAAATAGCATAGTTAACTCAGCTGAACTTGAACTTAAAACTCCATTCTCCTTTCAACGGACAATGGTTAAACCTATGCTCAGTTATTGCAGACTTCCAGCTGTTCCTTTTTGTTGGGTTGTATGAACCTTCCTCTATAACTATAAACTTCAGGATTCAAGCAAGAATTTGGATGGAATCTATAAGCAATTTTTTGAGCTCTTTCTAATGTGTTTCCCTACATTCCAGTATATCCCCCTTCACTTTCCAGCCATTCTGGCATCCTCAACTCTGTCTGTTGACTCAAGCCAGTAAGACCATGGGTTTTTGTCTGGGTTTTAGCCATCCTTTGCCATGCAGACTAAGGGCTATACTCAGGGGAAAAGCCATATAAATGCAAACATGCCCAGTGTATTTCCTTTCTTTCAAGTGCAGAGTCCTCTCCTCTTTTTCCTTTGGTTATTTTCTTGTACTATCACATAGCTATTACATTTTGTCCAGAGTATTCCATTCTTATCTCAAGAACAGTTAATCTGATAAACATCACTCTACTATTATATGAAGTTAATCCCTCTTGGTATTTTCACCACTACAGAAAGCACCCTTACTGCAAAACTACTCCCATCAAACTAATGTTACTCAAATAAGTGTTCTGCAGAAGACTATCCAATTAATATTAACAGCTGCTCTGTTAGGGGAAAAGTCTATATAACATGGTCAAATGGGGCTTGGAAATGTAGCATTACAAAACAAACAAATAGGTTTCTTTGCTCCAGAACTTACAAGAATGTCTAATATGCTAACGTACCTTCTATACCTCTAAGTAGATTATGCCCTAGAGATACTGTCCTAAACTGCTTCATATATAATTAGCAACATTAACTCATTCATTAAAAAATATTGAGCCTCAAAGAGTGGAGACTAGAGTATGACCCCATCTCCTAGTATAAGACTATAATTCACTGTGCCTTTTTTATTTTATAATATTAATGTCATTCACTGACTTACAGTGGTTAGGCTTATGCTATATAATCTTCATCAATACTTACTTGGTAATCATAATATCTGTACAATAGAAGATGCTGATGTGGAAAAGGTAAGATAGAAATAAACATTCAGCTGGGCACGGTGGCTCACACCTGGAATCCCCTGCCAAGGCGGGTAGATCACTTGAGGCCAGGAGATCGAGACCAGCCTACCCAACATGGCGAAACCCCATCTCCACCAAAAATACAAAAATAAGTCAGGCATGGTGCTGCATGCCTGTGATCCCAGCTACTTGGGAGGCTGAGGCATGAGAACTGCTTGAACCCAGGGGTCGGAGGTTGCAGTGAGCCTTGATTGTGACACTGTACTCCAGCCTGGGTGACAGAGCAAGACCGCATCTCAAAAAAAAAAAAACAAATAGACGTTCATCTATTATTAACCTGCATAGACTAGATAAAAATACATGAAATTGCCTGGTATCTGGCAGAGATTAGTAGCTTGATAAATGTTTAGCTTCCTTCTTAAGTGTTTTTCCCCTGTCTTTGCCTATTAAGTAAGTTAGTGCTTTCAATAAGACCAATCAGAGTTTGGCAGATTATAGCTCTCAGGCCAAATGCAGATACTAAAGGACCCCAACACTTACCCAAAGGTAGCCACTGGGCTAGGGTTTCTGCACTATTGTCCCTTCTGTGGTTGCCAGAAATATGTTACCGGAAACGGGTCCTGATCCAGACCCCAAGAGGCTCATGTTCTAAGATCCAAGAGCTAAGAATGTTTTTCTGTCACTTTTAAAGGTCTATTTATATAAAGGAGTTAAGAATATATAACAGAAACTGATGTGTCCCATAAATCCTAAAATGTTTGCTATATGGCATTTTACAGAAAATCTTTGCTGACCCTAAGATATAATCTAATCTTTATAAGCTCTCTAAAATAAGCAGTACAATAGGATTCATTTCACTTACTTAAGTACTGAGATAGAAGTCCTGTTTTTTTAAAAAATATTTATTAAAAACATTAGTTTACTGGCTTTACTAAATTTTCAAATGCCAATCTCAGACCTCACCTTTTCCCCTTTTATGCCACTGCAGTCACACTTTGATCCTGGAGAACACCCATAGCAAGCCTATAAGGAAGAGAAAGAGGGAAAAAATCATTAAATATGAACCCAAAAATCAGACTCTGACTTACAGCTCAACTGAAATCAACAATCCAAACTTGTAAGATAAATACCAGAAAAATATCTGAAAATATATATCAAATTGTAAATAACAGTTACCTCTCAGGAAGCTTGCACCTTTTATTATATACACTTCTGTCTGAACTTTTCAAAATGAGTAAACATAATTTTTATAATTTTAAAGTGAAAAATATCATTTTACAAGATGTTAAAAATGAGAGATCTCTCAATAAAGGCTAAAGATGGAAAGCGACACCATCTTCTACTTACAACAACAAAAACTCATGCACATATATTCACATATAAAGCACAGACATACATTTCAAAGTTAATTATTCTTACATTAACAGCCATTTGGGGTTATCACTACCCTTTACCTCTTCATTAATGCATGAGTGTTGACAGTATGCACAATCTAAAATATGTTAAAAATGGAAAAGAAATTCATATAACTTCCCTGTAATATGATTTGCCACATGTCCAAACTCTCAGGAACTCTCCTTTTTTTCTTCTAACATTGCTTGTAAGAAATTACCTCTCACTCTATATTAGCAGTGACCTTGGCAACTAGACAACAATGCCTACCACTTCAAGTCACTTGTTTCTCTCCATTCATGAGCAATCATGGAGCATAAAATATATAACACTATCTTTTACCACCTTCCTTTCTTTTCTTTGCTCCTACTCCTTCATCACTAATAATAGCTCAGTCTCTAACAGCTTTACCATAAATGCTGCTCCCACAGTCTAGATGTTCTAAATAGGCATTCAATCATATTAGGAATTGAGGTCTTCAAGCCAGAAAAATATCCTCCTCTAAAATAGAAAACTTATGGAGGAAAAGAATACAGTATGTGACTTCTGCCATTCAGAAATATCCTTTACTCTTAGAAAATGAACTGCTTGGAAAAACAAGTTAGTTTAATATACATTTATAGTTTAGTATTTATTTGCAAGGAGGTGGCATTCTTTTCATCAGATAGATATCAGACTGAGTTACTGAAACCTTTATGTGATATAAATACCAAATAATGACCATCAACCTTGAGGGCCTTTGACATAAAATACCTTAGCATGTTGCTCAACATTTCATGATTTCCTTTACTCTAGTCACTACTGAAGTACCCTCCTCAGCCCTTTTGAAAGTACTGACCTTATCCTTCTGATCAGAACTTCTAACTAACTCAGCTGCAACTAGAAGTCACCTGCATGCGGAAACCTCTTTTCCTGATTATAAGAGCAAACTACAATGGCTTGATGTTGGAGTGATGTCTCACTCACACTACAAGAGGCTGCTCCAGTGAAAGTTGTGCTCCTGACACTTCAAACAGAAAGTCTGTTATGCAGCTATTATTTATTATTCATAGATGTTTGGGGATTATATACTGATTTTAGTATTTTATGCTAACTACACTACAGATTAAATAGGATTATTCAGACTTATTCATCAAACATGAACTGAATATTACTAGAGGCCAGAAAAATTTTTAGGCACTAGACTTCTAAGATGAATAACACACAGCTCCCTCCAATATATGTAACTAATTCGAGAAATATTTATTGATCACCTGTTATGTGACAGCCACTATGTTATGTTAGGTGCAGGTAGAAGTACAAAGTACATCATTGCTCTCTAGTGGGAAGGATGACCCCATCTACAAAGAATTATATTACAATGTGCAGGAAACAGAGGTTAATTAAAAATATATAATATTTTTGTGCAAACATAAATTTTAAGTTCCAGACTATGGATTTTATAAAATTTAGAAGATATCGTTTCACAAGAAGATACTGATTCACAAGTTCACAAGACAGTAACTGTCAATGGTCATACTCCCTGAATTAGATTGCGCATGTTGTCAACACTCATGCATTAATGGAGAGGTAAAGAGTAGTGGTAACCCCAAATGGCTGTTAATGTAAGAATAATTAACATCTGACATTGAAATGCATGTCTGGACTTTGTATGTAAATATATGTGCATGGGTTTTGTTGCTGTGAGTAGAAGGCAGTGTAGCTTTCCATCTTCAGCCTTTATTGAGAGATCTTCCTCGTTTAAATACAAATTAAGCTCCTAAAAATAATGCAAAACAACAGTCTGACAGAATTTCATTGATATGAACAAGATTCTATGTGGCCTTTCTTTATAATTGCACTTTGACTTCTGAATATCCAACAATAGCCCCTAACTCCTAATACAATTTATAAACAAGAAAAGCCTTAAATACTCTTGCATGTCATTTTACAAGTAATTTTACGTAACTTTTTGCAATTTTTTATTAAACAACATGTAGCTTTACTTTAGAAAGAACACAGATTTAAACAGTTGGGAATTATAGATAAATGTGTTTAAATGCAATTTAAAATTTTAATTTATATTCTATTTATTCCACCTAAGTTATGAGAATTACTCTGGTACTCACAGGTTAAAACAAAGCAGGCGATTGTAATACGCACACCAACCACTAGATGCCACTTTCTATACAGTTATAACAGTGGCGCCCACAAGGAGATAGTCCCAGTTTGACATCTGGTTAATGGAACAACTTGTTTTTTTTTTTTTTTACCAACATCTATTAATATTGATTAGGTGTCTAATAAACACAAACACAATAATAGTTCTATGAGTTGTACAAAAGTAGATGTAGGTGCTGCCTTTAAGGAACTTCCAATCTAGGTTTTTTGTTTTTTGTTTTTTTTAAGTAACTAGGTATTTTATTTTTTAAGTAACTAGGTATTTTCAGGACATATGAAAAGAATATCAAAATACAATGGAATAATGATACAGCAGTATATCATAAGTTTACTTCAGCAGTTGAATCATTTGACCATGGACAAATCATTTCCAAACTCTTGGGCTGTTTTCTCATTTGTAAAATGGTATACATAGACAGTGTAATCTCCTTAGGTAGCTTCCAGATTTCACTGTCTGTGATTCTGTAGGATTCGCCAAGTAAAAATGAGTGTTATAGTCAATAATTGCTATCAAAGTTAAGAAAAATAGTTCCCTTGAGCCTGAAAGTATTGACAAAAGCTCTGTGGAGAAAGTGAATACATGGACTTCAACTTGGAAGGATAGACAGAAAGATACTCAGAGGAAAAATTGCCATGCTAAGCATGATTAAAATATAAAATTGACTGGGGCAAAGAGGTAAAATGAACATTAAGTACCTCTGTCTAAAAGGCTTTCTAAGTTCGTACGAAAAAAACTAGTACTTCAAAATCACTGAAGATGAAAGAAGCAAGAAAATGATGCAACTATTATATTTTAAATTTTTACTGTGGGAGAAAGTAATAAATGAGTAAGGAAAGTTTTATATTATCACACACTAAAACACATCAGAAAACTGCAATAATTAAAATAGTACGGTATTCACTTAACAAAAATAGGAAGGCCAGAAACAGATCTGCACACTCATGCATGTGCACACACACGCACACAACTACTATATGATAAAAGTCGACATGTCAAATAGATGTGAAAACAATGAATTTTTCAACATATGGTGCTAGAATAAATATAAAAAATAATAAATTTAGATCTCATGCTGCTACAATTAAAACACCAGATGTTAGACTTAAAAGTACAAATAAAAACAAATTCTGTATGAATTAGGGTCACCTAAAGAACCTCACAAAAATTCACATACCAGCAACCCATCCTAAAGATTCTTCCAGTAAGCCTGAAGTTGAATAGCAGAATCTGAAATTTTAATGAACATCTCTAAGTGATTTTGATTCAGGTGTTCCAAGGAGACACATACGACAAAACAATGGCAGAGAGAAATAAGAAATATTCCAATAACGTGGCTAGTTAGGTATCCAGACTGAAATGCTTACTTTAAAAAAATGCTTGGAAAAAAGTAAAAAAATTCTTCCTAAAAGCATCAAAGGGAAGCACAATAGGATTTATCAAATCAAAATCTAGGGAAAACCAAAAAATGAATTGACCAATGAAACTACTTTTTCCCGGAGGACATTTGCCAAACTTGGATAATTTTCGGGTTTTGTTTTATAATTTCTTTTAGTGTAAGGGTGTACCATGCATAAATGTACCTCACAATCCCACACCCGGGGAGGTGGAAGAAAAGATATCTTGGTGCTTAGCAGAGAAGTACAGGAAAAAAAATCCTTAAAAAACACACCACAAACTGGCCAGATTTGCAATCCAAATTAGCATTACCTGAGTGGACTCTGACTGCATTGACCTTCTAGAGGCTGGGCAAAAACACATACCAATTCTATGTAGAAAAAACATGCCTTCAGAGTAAACTTCAAATAATTCAAATGCATCATTTTTTAAAGGAAGATGAGATTTCCTAATTAAAAACCATTAAGCATACAAGAAAAAAAAATACCATAAGCAAAAACCAGAAGAAACATATGACAACAGAAAGTACTCACTAAATATTTCAGATATTGGAATTATCAAATAAAAAATATATAATAACTATCTTTACAATTATAAAAGAATTTTTCTAACTTAAAAATAATAAAGGGAGCCAGCAATTGTATGAAAATGACATAGTTTAATTGAAATAAAATATACATTCTAGAAGTAAAAGCCATAGTAATTGAAATTTAAAACTCAAAGGATGGCCTTCACAACAGACTACATAGAGCTGAAGACAGAATAAAGTTAAAATACTTAGTAAAGCTAAAAAGAAATTATATATAATGTGGCATAGAGATAAAACATGGAAACTGAAATAATCATTAAGAGACATGGAAGAAAGAGCAAGAAAGGATAACATAAAGGAAACTGGGATTCTAGAAGAGGTGAGAGAGGGAATAAAGACAATACTAAAGAGACAATGGCTAAGATTCCTCAAGAAAAATCTACACATATTTGTTATTCAAGAAACCAAACAAATCCAATGGCATAAAAATAAAACCTGAAACTAGGTGCAGCAGAACATAACTGCATAACATAAAAGTAAAGGAAA